AGGGATTTCTACCTACTTACCGAATACCAAAACATCTGTTAAGTAGTAATAATTCACGTGTTTACAAACTTTATCCTAAGAAAAAGACAAAAAAAATGTTAGAAATATTGAAATGAATGAAGGGTATTTTGGGAAGAAAAGTATTTGTTCACATCACAAGTACCAAAAACCCTTATAAATATAGGACAGCACTTCTAGGACCTAGGTAAACCCTTGTAAAAAGGACAAGAGGGAGTATTGATCAATATAAAAAGTTCCCAAACCTCACACAAATCATCGGACAAGGGAGGGAAAGCGAAGCCTGTTGAGCAGTTGCTCAGTGTCTCAGGACTTCTTATCCACTCCTCGCGGGCGCCAGTAAGTTTGATTTTGAATCTATACATCTGAAATGGGAAAGGAATTACATGGTAAGAGATAGACAACTCCTCCAGTTATATGGTACACACGAGACAAAAGACAGGTTACAAAATTTAGTAGAAACGACAAATTTTGTAACTGGAGCGCAAAAAGATAGAGGAAGTTATATGGAGGAGAAAAAAAGGCGCAAAAATAATACTCCATCGTCCAAAAATAGTTGACGTTTTAAGGAAGTTCACGCAAAATATTAAAAATTAGGGAATCTAACAAATTGACCCGTCTATTTTAATTTAAGTTCAAAATTAGATGTGTTTTATTAAATTTCAAGTTATAAAAACATTAAAATGTTGGGACAATTATTTCAGTTTGATAAGGGAAAATTTAGAGTATTAGTAAAAATTATGCATTGAATTCCTTAGAGGACAATTATTTTTGGACAAAAAAATCCTTTAAACGTCAATCAATTTTGGATGGAGTAATTTTGCAACTTGCAAACCTGAGACAAAGAAATAGTTGGTTTCTCCAAGTTGTCTTCAGCAATCATCGTGCCTGTACCCTGACATTCTGGACAGAAGATTGAAGGAATATATATTCGGATACCACCATTCTTTATTTCTCCATTATGATTGGGCTTAGCTTTTTTCCTAGATCTTCGTTTCACTTTAGGCTCATCAGATTGGTTCCCATGCATTTCCAATTCGCAAAGAAGTACCCAGTGGATGAGGCAAGAAGTATGGTATATATGAAATGCCTGCAAATGTAATATAATAAGAAAAACAAAAGAGTTGCAGTTTGCACTGCAAGCAGTTCGCACAAACTTGTCCTTAAAATTTTATGCTGAATAGTGGATCTTACACAGTTTAAGTGGTCAACATAATGTGCAGTTAGGTCACAATCCAGATGTTGGAAGGAAGAACAAAATAAGTTATAAAGGAATTTGGAAAAGGTCTTACTCCGGTCATATTCCTACTGCTGCAAACAAGTCTCCCAGTGTTCATGTTCATTAGTGTGGCAACATCTTTACCAGGAAGCAGTTTTTGTTGGCAGATGCCACACACTCTCACAGATGCTACTTCATGTTTTTTTCTCAATTGCCTCATTAAGGTTTTACTGGAAACTGCTCTGGAATGCAGTAAATGATCATCAGAGTCATGTAGCACTATCCTTGAACCTGAAGATTCAGATTCCTCACCTGAAGAATCACACCAATTGCTTAAGGAGTCGCTGACATCCTCAGGGTCCGAAAATGATTTCCTCTTTATGCTTTTAGCATTGTGAATTTTGTCTGACTCAAAAAGATACCTAGGAGGAAGCAAACACCTCAGCTCCTCAAGTAAGCTCTGCCTGCCCAAACTGTTATTGTAGGGAAAAATGACAAGAGCAAATTCATGAACTGGAACCATGATTTCCTCCTCATCACATGAGTCCTTATTCCCAAGCCACTCGCACCATATTCTATGCACTCCATTTGAAACCCCATCCTTCTCATTGAACCTCGCAGCGATTTTTCCAATACCAATATGTGTCACAACCACTTCGGATATCTTATCTCTACACAGCACGCTTGGAATAACAATCTGATGTTTACTTTCAGTTCTAGAAGGGGTACTTTTCTTAGAATCAGCATCTCCAGCATCCTCACTGATATCAGGCAGTAAGGTTTTATCATATTTGACAATAGCAAGAGCATCATCATCATCATCATCATCCCAATCTATACTTATAACCTTAGTCTGATCACTATTTGAGTCAGGAGAAGGTTTTTCTTGCTCTGGAACAGTAAAGAAAAGAACACCATCATTGAAAGGCCATGGGTTGGGTTTTAACAACGTAACTTTAGCAGCAGCTAGCCTTTCAGTGTGGAGATTACCATTCAAGTGATCAAATAAAATTGAATCACTATAACATGGCGAAAGACACAGGGTACAGAAAAACACGAATCTCTTCCCATCTTCCCTGAGTTCAACATATGTGTGCCCCTGTTTCCTCACATTATGCAAGGTCTTCTTCGCTAATTGATCTTTCAAGCTACAACCACTCCTCTTAGGAAGACCTAGATCCTTACCTCCCGCCATCAAACATTCAGATGCTAATGTATTTCTTATCCCAACCCTCAGCAGAAGAAATCACGATCCGAAGTCCAAATTGAGATATCATGAACTCATGAAATTGTTTATGACACAACAAGCTCAAACACTCAAATTTCGTTAACCAGACACACTAGCAGTTTTCAACTTCCGGAAAGCAAATCAACTAGAAAGCAAATCATTTCCAACAAATTAATCCTCTTCCCCTCTGAATCTCCTTATATCGCTCAGAATTGTAAAATTTTCAACTATTCTAGATGACGAAACTCATGAAGCAGTCCAAGAAACTCCAATTCTTCGCGTTCCAACTTATAACAAGGAAAGTGCAGATATAAACAAGACGAATTATTAAAAAAACGAACCCTAGACCGAAGCTTTTCAGATACCTCTAAACTTGCAGCATCGAGGCGTGCAAGGTATAGTCGGTATAACCGTAGACATAGTGGCTATTCGTTTCACGGCGCCAAGACCTCCACGCATCTCAAAGAGCAACGCAAGCGACCATGAATCGACCATACCCTGCAACAACTCCATAAAAAAGCTTCGATTCAGGCGGGAGAGAGCACACCAGATAGGAACGAAGAAGCCTGAAATCGCGATTTGCAGTCGGCCGGAGTTCACAGCATCTGGTCGCACGCGCACCGAATTGTATCGGAACTCGGAAGAGAGCAGTAATCAGATAATCCGAGGAAATAAGAAGAAATGGTTGACTTGAACCAAACGGAGTTCTTAACTAAATTCTGGGGTTAAACAAACTGCGCGCCTTGATGGATAAAAATCCTAACGAAAAAAAGATCGGATAAAAAAAGATGAGCCCATTACTTAGACTCCCTGACACCGGATCGGATGATCACTCATACAAAATAAATTAGATTTTAATAGTATATTGGTGGTAAAAAGTAGAGCATGTACCTGCTACTTGAAGATGTCATATACTTTGTGACTCTAGCATTTTCCTTGCCAATAATCAAACGCAGTTCTTACCTCATTGGCACCTCTTGCCTTGCCAAGTGCACAACGCCCATCGGTACAAAAAAAAGATGGATGAATGGATGGATGGAGTTATAATTTATAAAATGAGTAACAAAAATTGAGGAATAAAAATGAATACACTTTGACAATGTGAATGGTTAACATGTAATTTAATATGAGATAGATGAAGTTTTATTTATAAAAGAGTAATTTACCTAAATATGACTAAAACATAATGACTTTCTCAATATAGGACCATATGTTTTTATTTCCCAATGTAGAACCATTGATCATTATCTATTAGTCGTTATTCAACTAAATGTCCAACATCATTTGGACATTATTCTTCTCACTAGTCATTATTAAGTCTTATTTAGGGAATAAAAAAGTTCAATTCCTACATTGGGAAATGACTTATGTTTTAGTCTTATTCAGTACAAATTTCACTTCAGAAAAAACCTTATTTGTATCTTAGAAAAATATTTCTTTAAAAAATTTCATCACAAACATCATTAATCTCTTATTTCTCAACGATTTTTAATTTTCGGTGTTAGTTTTTCATTTCTTTGGATTAATGATTAGAAAATTACGAAGTATTACTTATATTAGGGGTGTTCAAAAATATCCGACCCGAAAAATCCGTCCATGATCCGGGCATATCCGATCCGAAAAATGGATATCCAATCTGATATTTTAGCTTTCGGATATTTCGGATCGGATATGGATTCAATTTCTGGAATTTTTCAGATAATCGGATATCCAATTTTTTTTTTGCTATATGTTTAATTGAATTTTATGGATATATATTATGGGTATATGATACGAATATCGACCATACATATCAGTATATGTTTAATGCAATTTTAGTTGATTTTGGAACTCAAGCATTTTGGACTTTTTGCATTAGCATTTTAAAACTTTTTGTTTTAATAGTAATTTTTTTTGTTTGTTTAGGCAAAATTACCAAATGTACTCCCAAATTGAATTTGGTATCAATTTTTTATTAGGCCATTATCTTGTGGTGAAAATTTTCTTTTAATAAATTTATATTGAATTTTATATTGTGGGTTGATTTTGGTGTTTTACCTTTTTTTTGTAAATTTTGGCTAAAAAGTTAAATTTTCGGATAATCCAGTGATCCGATCCGAAAATTCGGATATCCGAATATCCGAATTTCGGATATCCGAATATTTTCGGATCGAACATGGAATGAGTTTTACATGATCCAAAATTTTCGGATATCCGAATTTTTGATTCGGATCGGATCGATCAACAGCCCTAACTTATATCACTGGTTTCGTGCGTAGATGATAAATGAATCAAATGTTAGGTGATGTATGTAACAGATGATAGGGATCAGGTGATGGATATAGAATTAATGGATGAACAACCACCAGACCAAACCCAACCTATTGTTATCCGTAATGCATGTCGTTATATAAAGTCTGTTATTCTATTTTTATTATTTATTCTTATGGAGTATCTTTTTGTTCTTAATTATTCTTATTTATTCTTATTATAATGGGATCAATTTAGATTATAAACAGTTTTATACATAGTATTTTAACTTGAATCATAATAGATCTTTATAAAATCGGTACGGTTCTCATGATATTGGAACCTCATGTCATAGGATGATGATATGGGTGCTTCGGTGCTCCGTTCATAAAATTGACGGTTCTTACCTCTCTAACCCCCTCGGTAATCCCCCTTTCCCACCCCACCACGATCTAACACACTTCCAGCCCTTTCAATTGAACCCCCTAAATTAATTTTGACTTTAAAGTCAAAATTGACTCAAAAGTCAAAATTTATTTGAGATGCAATTGAAGGATGCGAGGGGTGTTCAGGTCGAAGCGACGTGAAGGGGTTTACTGGGGGGTTAGGAACCGTCAATTTTATGAATGAGCACCAGAGCGTTCTCGGATCATCCCAGGACATTGCCGGGCAAAGTCATAGAATTGCCGAAAATCATGCTCATACTAATTTCATCTAATTTTCCCGTAAATTCATCGTCACCTTCCTCGAAGATTTTCCAGTAACTTGATTTTTTTGATTTTTTTTTGATTTTTTATCCTTTTTTTGAAATGTTTACTTCTTCCACTCTCAAAAAGAGTTCCAATTTTGACTAAGTATAAAAATAAAGAAGTGTAAATTATACTTGAATTCCAATTTTGTCCTTGATGTGATGAATAAAAGTAAGATGTGATAGATATATTATTAGAGAAAAAGTATGATGTGATATGTAGGGTATGAAAAAGTAAGTGTAAATGATTTTATTAGAAAGTGAAAATGTTTTGTTGGAAGTGAAAAATTTAAAAGATGAAGTATTTTTTAGAACGGATAAAGTAACAATTACAGAGTATTTTTAAAAATAAATATTATTTTATTTAATGAAATCACTCTGATGGTGTAAATTACTTGACCGGTCAAACTATACTAGACCGGGTCTAGAATAGTTGGCTTGATTCAGTAAAGTAAAGAAGGTAGAAACACTCAGAATGACCGGTAGGACTTTAGGTGGAACACCTGTAGCCCGAATTGTATTAAAATAGAGAATACACGGTCACTTTTACAAGGGAGTTTAGAGAGAGTGAATTCGGATCCCCTTCTTCGAGCACCAAGTGGTATATATACTAGCTAGGGGGCAGGACCACGTGCGCCCACGTGGGGGCATGCAGCTGGCGTGGTGTGACTTGACTGGTTCTGGGCTGCCTTGTCATCTTGCGAGGGGGGTTGCGCCCTTGTCGTGTTCTGGCTTGGAAATGTTCCTTCGGCATCTCTGCAATTCCAACCACTACAGTCCAAGTCCTTTTGGATTCCCCCTGCCGACAATCTCCATCCTCTAAAAACTACACCGGTTGATCCCTGAAGGTTGGATTAATTGACTTCGGAATTGATTCCTGACGATGGAGTAAACTGACCGGTATACTATCCGAAGTATACCGGTCAACTTCATCGGTCAACCAGTCGTCCATCTGCCAACGATTCAGATCTCTCTCCTGAGTTTGACCCCCTTTGACCGGTCAACTATCCGGTCCTAACCTTTGACCGGTCTTGGGTGAAATACACCCATCAATAAGCCCTCCACTTCTCGCTTATGCAATTTTGTCATAAGCGGGAAGTAAAAAATCTGAAACAGAGCTTTTAAATTCAAATTTTGGCTTTTCCCGCTCAAAATTTTTTGAATTCAAAAATTGATAAGNTGCGCATCTCTCGAGTTTCACCGGTCAAGCTCCTTCTCTCTAGCTTTCCAGCCCTCCGAGTCAAGTAAGCTTCCCTCTTTCTTCCTTAGTTTTTTCTTTCTTTTCTCTGTCTTTCTCCCCGGTCAATGTCTTCCCCTGATAGCCAGGATATTTCTGCCTCGGATGCCCGCGCATCCGAGGAATCCCTTTCCTCTTCTTCTTCGACCGGGTCATCTTCTCCCATCCCTCAACCCCGGTCGAATCCCAACCCTAGCATCCCTGAACCACAACCATTAAACCAGATGCCCGGTGACCTTTTTGCGGAGAGGGAGGAGCCGGTAAACGACGAACCGGCCCCCTATGACCCGGAAAAAGAGACCCGGGACCAGTGGGTGGAGAGGTTAGATGCATCCGGTTACTCTCCCCTCCCCACCTCCTTCGTTATAGACATCTACCCCCATGTCTCCAAAATAGCCCTGAACAAGGCCCGTAGGAACCTCCCGGTGGGCTATGTTCTCGAATTCGACGAGAACTGGCCCAACATCATCGAACCTCACCGGGAGGATATGATAGGTTTTCATATCGCTTCCTTAGAGAGCGGTATCGTTTTTCCCCTTCGCCCCCTCTTGGTTGAGTTGTGTCACTGCTTCGGGATCCTTCCCGGGCAGATAACACCCAATGCTCACCGGTTGCTTAACGCTTTTGCCAACATCTGCACATCTCTCCACATCGACCCCTCCCTTCACCTTTTCCTTTATATGTTTGAGGTTCGTCCCGGCAAACCGGGTTGCGAAGGTTTTGTCTATTTTAAGGGACGAAACAATCGTAAGTTCATCTCTGACCTTCCACAAAGCAACCGCTTGTGGAAGGAAAAATTTGTCTTCATAAAATTTCCTCCGTCCATCACTCTGTTGGTCGGCTTGAAGTGGAGTGACCATCTCCTCAAGCACCAGTTCACCGAACCGCCGGCCACCCCGGATCTGGAGGAGAGCCGGGAGCAGCTTCTCAAAGGGGACCCCAACACCGGTCAGATGTACCACTACGGGGGTTGGGTCTGGCGCGTCCAACCGGGTGACGAGGGTTCCTCCCGGGCCCATGAAGCAGCGGGGCGCGGGGGACCCTCCCCGGGCAACACTGCGGAGGCTGGAGGGCCAAGTCACCCAGGTATCCACTTATCTTCTTCTCTGCTTTCTTTCTCGATTAAACCGGTCATAGCCTGAATGCTTATAGTTTTTTGCTTGTTTTGTAGACATGAATTTCAGAGCCTACAACATGCCGAAGACAACCGGTGGATCTTCTGCTACCGGTCCTCATACCTCCAAAACATTTCCGGTACAGAAGGAAACCATAGACGTCCATTCGGAAGAGGAAAATCCTGAGACCTGGGGAGCTTCTCCGACCGGGAAGGAACCGGCGAATTCTCCCCCCAATAAAGGAAAGGGGAAGAAGAGAGTGAAGCATACGGCCACCACTCACCCGTCGGCCAAGAAGAAAAGGGGAGAGAACACCCCGGCCGAAGAATCACTGGAGGAGCTCTGGGTCAAATTGACCCTCAAACTGAAAGAGGTAATGTATACCCGGTGCTTTCTTTTGTATTTGCCATTCGATTGTTGTACTAACCGGTGCGCTTTTCAATATGCAGATGGGTGAAATTAGGCCCGTTGCCTTGGAGCAACTTACTGAAGATTCCTCCTCCCGGTTAGCCCAGCTGGAAGAAAGGCTAAGAAGATCCGAGGCCCACAACCGGGAGCTTAAGGGGCTGACGGACCGGCAGCTGAATGAGATGGCTGACCTTTCAGCGATTGCCGAGGGAGCCAAGGCAGAGACCCTCCAGCTGAAGGAGGAGAACCTGAAGCTGATGGAGGACTTGGAATCCAAGGAGCGGGAGTTCCCCGATAGGGCCAAGCAATGGATGGAGGACAACCTGGTGGAAGCTGCCCGGGTACTCACTTCTTCTGAGGAGAGGACGGTGGAGGGCTTCAATCTGCTATACCGGGAGGAGCAAGGAAAAGAAATGATCACTCAAATCGGCTCCTACGGTTTTATCTCCGGCCAAAAACGGGACCGGGAGGCCACGCACGCGGCCCTTGCTGAACGTGACCCGGACTTTACTGCTGAATCATACGGCCTGGCTCCCATCCCAGAAGATGAACCTGCACCTCCCTTCCCCTTGGAGTGAAATCTCCCCGGCTGTGCCCGGTTATCTTTTGTAAAACTCAAAACTTTGGAATTTCGCCCGGGTATGCCCGGTGTACTTGTAAACGATTAACTTTCTTGTTGTGTTTGAATGCAATGTTTAATTTCCGTACCGGTTAATCTTCCATTTCTGCTTCTTAATTGATATTTTGCCACATCATAGGATATTTTACCGGTGCACAAGTTAAGCCACTTCGACTAACTTGACCGGTTAAACTCCAAATTGTTTTCGGATGTCTCTAGGTTGAAAGGGCAACTTGAATAAACTTGACCGGTCGAACTCCAACTTTGACCTATTTGACTCCAACTTGATGGTCAACCCGAGAATGCTTGACCGGTCGAACTTCATCTTGTTTTTTGAACACCTTCATCACAATGGTCAACTTAAAAAGTTTGACCGGCTGAACTTTCCTTTGGCTTTTGGATACCTTCGTTCGATGAAGTAGAGTATGACCGGTACGTTCCCATCTCACGGTACGACCGGTCAACTGCTTTGCCTTGAAGAACTTCCGAAGTTCCGCTGTAACAATACCCAACCGGGGTTTTTTTTTTTTGACCGGTAGGTTGTAGGTGGAACACCTGTAACCTAGTAATTTCTTGAAGTATCCTTAACCGGTAAGGATACTGGAGATTTAACCATGTTCGAATGGTTTCGAACCCTCTCCAAGGTTCAAATGCACCCTTCTTCCAGGGCCCCCTCTTCCGGGTGATTAAGTCTTTTAATGGCCCCTTGATTTCTACCATCCCGGGAAGGCCTTAGCTCACCCCCCGTTCAAGTCTTCCCTGAGAAGGGGGAAATAGGATGCGCCACGGTGGACGATCCCCTTCTATTTCTTTTAATGGGCATCTTTTAGTCCCCACTCAGTTTGACGGCGCCGGCTGATTCCCCGACACTGGTCAAACCTCATGGGCCCGTGTAAGTACGGTTCGAACCTTCTTCCAGGTCCAGCCCTCTTGCAGGCATACCCTCTTCTGGGCCCCTCTTCCGGGTTTTATATTTTTTCTATTATACTGAGCAAGACCGGTGTAGTAACCAGCGTGCCAGGTCCGGGCCTGTGTCTCAGTTGGCTTATCCGAGTGGATCCGATCCACCCGGGAAGCCCTCCTAGGATAGGTTCGACCTATCAATTCTGCTGCTACCATGTAGAGTATTGAATGTCATCGGTTTGATTGATAATAAAGTAGGCCTTGCCTAGTATTACAATCACTTGTAGAACTTGCGAAGATGATGGGAATTCCAGGTTCTTTCTACCGGTACACCTTCAAGAGTTTCTAACCGGTAGGTTCCCGGGCGAATGATAGCTCTCACCCGGTAG